TGTCTGATTGTCTCCAACCTAACTATAATAGCTTCATTATTCTGAATCAGTCTTAAAAATTCAGTAACATAGCAGCACTATTGACCTGTTTAAGGATTTTTAGAGGCATGTTTATAAATAGATGTATATGATGTTTTCTGTGCTGCGCTCAAATTTAGGTGGTGCATCCAACAAACATACTGTCATGTTGTCCAGAAAGACTGCTAGCACCCCAGATGTCACCTTCTGGAAGGCATCAACAGCATGGGCTAAAATCACTGTATGAGTAGATATGTCAATATTTCTGATAATCTGCATGATTTCAAAACATGCTGTAGTCCTTTAGCAATACAGGTTTGGTATAATATAACTATTAATTGGTATAATATTCCTAAAAAGCACTATTATAAGGAGAACTTCAGTGGCCAAACCACGCTCATAAAACCAGCACAGCTCTTCCAGTTAATAGAAATGATCCCAGGAAAATCAGTTTCTGCCAGTGCAACTGCATCTATATTAGAGGCATATGTAAACACAGCTGTGCTGTTCTGGAATCCCAGTTCTTCACAGCCACTGAAAGCCTGAAATCCAGTTCTAACCTAACATTCTGAGGAGCTCTGTGCCATCTTTAGAAAAATGCTAGTCTGCCTTGAAAATCTGGATAGAGAAAAAGAGGCTGCAAATATACACACTTAAATTTCAATGGATTTTTTAGATTCTTTTGTTCTATGCATATTAAAATGAAAGACTAAAAATCAATTCCCTTCAAGGCAGGAAATGTGAGATAGAAGCCAAAAATATGACAGACCATTTAATTGTAATTCATCAAATAGTGTTACTACTTTTTTCATTTAAACGTTATATATAAAATAACAAAACATACCTAAATAATAGATGTGCAATAAATTCACAAAGTCAATGACTTTATTTAATGCTAGCATTACATCTTGATCACTCCTAACCCTACCCTTCCAGTTAAAGGACCATTGGTGCTTGTTTTTGTCATTAATCCAGAGATATGCTTCTCATGCTCAGTGACCCAGTTCCAAGAAGTATCACAATATAGAACTCTATTTTCCCCTTAATAAACATGCATAATTCCTGTGAATATTAGCATTGATTATGCACACTTACACACTCTAGGGCATATTCATCCAAACTCAGTGAATTGAAAAGAACTGAAGGAAAATGTATTTGGCCCTCTAGGCTGCAAGAAACCCTAAAGAATGATAGGAACAGTCCAGAATGCTTTATTGGCATATTTTATTTTAATGACACTTCTGAATATTAACTCCTTCAGCTCTCTGTCCGCAATATGAATGATGTTATATGTAAGCTAAAAGAATTAAGGGCTTTGTAGGATAGAAATAAGGAAAATGAAGACAGCAAGCAAGGATTAAGCTTAATGGTTACGATATTCTCTTTGAAGATGGAAACTGTAGGTTCCAGCCTGTCCAATGATATTTCCTAAAGAAAAAGAGGTCAATTGGGATATTGCCAGCAGCGCAGGTGGGCATCTCTCATTACAGGTAGAGCAATGAGAGGGTGACCAGTGCAGACTCAGACTCCTTACAGGGACATAATAATGGATTCAGAGTTTTCTACAGCTTGATGAGTACTTAAACCACTGTGGTAACGGTAATGCACAAACGTTGTCTTTGTTACTTAAGAGAGAAAGTAAAAGGACTTGAGTCACTTGGGCTTGCTTTGACTTCTAATGCCCTAGATAGTTCTCTGCAGGAGAGGTTTGGAACATGCAACTCCCAGTATGAAAATACATGTTTATATACCCTGGAGAAATGTAGAATTTAATATAAATTCTTGTCCTGAGCATCACCTGATGGGTTTGCATTGGCATATTTGTTTACAACATGCTGGCTGGAGTTCCAGCTTCCCCACAATGGTATCCACAAATTTCTCCGCCTCCCATACTCTGTGTGGACTGTTGAGACAGCTAACTCAGTGTTTCAGCATTTAGGTCTCATTTTGGCTCTGGGTTTACAGTACATAAACAATTCTTCACTAAACTTTCAAAAACTGCTGAAGCATTCACCTCGTTCAGCACCATGGAGGGAAACATGAGCACTAACAGCTTGCCACAGATTCTGGATCCCAAGAATTGATTGCAGACAATGATAAATATGAAGCAGTATAACATATATTCCTGCCTATTGGCTGCTTATTTAAAAGAGGTGTTCTTGGCTAAATGTTTTTATAGACACTTGCCATAAAGGTGCTGCAAATAATTATTCTGTAGAGCCTGATTGTGTAACTGCCATTATTTTAAGCGCTGAATGATTTGAATAATGGAAACTTCAATAGCAAAGGCTTCCAAGCCAAGCTAGAGTGATTTCCCCTTCAGTCAATACAGCCTTCATCTACGTCAGTAAACAGCACAGCACAATTGATGCAAATACGTGGAGTGGAAGAGTTAGTGTTGAGGACTTGACATCCACATCATATGTTCTGGGTATTTTAGTTCAGACCAACTCCAGCTAATTAGCTGACATTAAATACAGTGATACATTAGGTGTGAATTTAATTAAAAAAAAAAAAGGCAGCTTCTGTGCCCTAAGATTGTGCACGCCACTCTGTAATTATAATGGAGGAGAAGTGGAGGTAACGAGGAAATTCACCTCACAATATTGCTCCTGATATAATCTAAAAATGTTTTTTCTCCTTAAGCCAAACATGTTTTCTACTGTGTGTGAGTAAAAGAAGAGCTTTCTTTGCATCTTAGTTAGATGACCAACACCCTTTTATGAATACACATGAAAGTACACTACACAAATCTCATGAACAAAGAAACAATGTCATCTTAATAAAATGTAAATCTGAATTGAAGGTAAGTTCTATATTTGTTTTCCAAATATCCTGATTTATGGAAATCTTCTTCAATAAAACCCAATTTAGACCAACAGATAAATGTCATCCCTCCCAACTCTAAGTTCACATAGAGGAATGACTAATGAATACATGCTTCATACATTTCCCTCCTGAATAGGCATTAAAGGAACTGAAATGCTGTAAAAGTAATTGTAATGATTTGGGTCTCCTGCTGGTGGCTTCTCCTTGAAAGATCAGATTTCTCATGTGGGGTTTTGTCTGCAGCCTGAAGCCAAGGCAGGCAGAACGTCCTCATAGGAGAGGTCACCACCAGAGCCAACTCTCAGGCTATCAGCTCCTCAAAGAGCCTAGGGCCATTATTTCACAAGCATTTCTATGACAGAATAAGAAGTAAAGCTTTGGATGTACTACAGCTAATTGTATTTGTCCTCTGCAAAATTAGTACTTTGCTCTGCATATAGACATTATATGAAGAATGACAATAAACTGGACTGAATATATGACAGTGCCATTACAGAGTAAACCTCAAAACCCATAGCTACCAAAGCAAGGGAGAAAATCTTATTTGATGTGTACATCTAAAAATGTGTGAGGCCATAAGACTAAAAGCTTGATATTGCAGATTAGTAACACTACAGAGCTGTCTCCAAATTTCAAGATCAAAATACTGCTGTGCTCTTCAGAGTATTTTTTGCACTACCATTTTTGTAAACAGGATATTGAATTTACACTCTATTTCTTTATGAGGAAAGTGTTTTGTGAAATACCTGGGAACACTTCAAACACCCCTTTGAAAGGAGAAAGTCCTAACATTTTCAAGCTGTAAGAAGATATGTTTCCCACAACAAACAAAATCATAAAAAAAAAAAATAAAATAAGTCATTTACTGTGATTTGCCAAAAAGAATATAATGATTTCTAAGTTAAACACTTGATCTATCTCATTAGGAACCCGTATTTTGTGAAGAGCATTTACTTTCCACAGAAACATATACAAGAAATGATTAGATGTCTGATCTTGCTGGATGTGCCCTGTTTGAAACGGAAGCTATACGTTGTCGGTCAATAAAAAACACAGTGCCTTCAGGCACTAAAAATTCTTTCATCTGAAAATAACACTCATTACAAAGTCAGCCATTTCTTAAAAAAAGAATCATGAGGCAGTATCTTGAACCATAAACATTAAGACAGAAGCTTATTTATGTAAGCTGGAGTCAGCAGGCTTTGTTAGACCATTCAATAGAAGGAAAATGGGGGTAGGTAATAATTTGCAGAGGGATCTGGTTCAAGGCTGAAGAAATTTAGGAAAGGACTGCAGCATGCATTTAAGGGAAAAGACAGTCCCATTTGTCTGCAGAAATTGTCAGTGGGTTTAATATTAACTGCTGCATTTGAAAGGCTGCTTAATTTTTATTCAGCCTCACATTGTATTTATGAACTGTTCTGATCCTGCTGTTCATCACTGCCATCCAATATTTTAACTAATTAAAACTACTTTGAAGTCTCTGACCTTTAAGCAGACAGTCGATTCTGAATTAAAATATAATTATATTTGTAACATAAATACACTCCTTATGCTACCCCCATGCTCTTGTGTGTGTAGGAAAAGACTACACTGAACTTGATAAAATAATGAAAAATAAGAAGAAAATAGACTGAGAAGCCTGGTTTTCCTTTCCTATATAACAAAGAGACAGCAGGGAAAAAATAAAAGCAATACTTAGAATTTACAGAAAGAAATCCTTTCTGCACAGTGCATAATGTATCTGCAGGACATACTGTCATGAAATCTCAACACTTTTTCTGAAACCAAAAGGGCAGCTTTTCATATGAGTAGGTAAAGCAATAACAGGATTATATTCCAGCAGTATTACACAGGTACAGTGCTGTTTATTGAACAGGACCATCTTTAAAGGTGAAAGAGGATCATAAACTACAGAATGCAGAGAATATGTTTCTTGTGAGTAAATCACAGCTTCTCTAAACTTTTGGTTCTGACCACTGGAGCTACATGAATTATTGGTGTGATGAGCACTTTCTATTTATCTCCTGGTCTTCATCATTGCTTCTTCTAGCAAAGGTACTCTTTAGTCTAAGTGACTAGCAGCTCTCGACCACATTACTTAGCAACCTTCTACAGCCAAATAATAGGAACTTTATTAATAAACAACTTACTTTTACGTAGAGCTGTTGAAACTCCTCAAGGTTCAGTCTACCACTTGGACAGTCCTTTAGAAATCCTTTGTACCACTGTTTTAGCTCATGTTCATTGAACTCCGTGCTCTTCACCAGATCTTCCATCACCTCAGGGGCCAGCTTGCTATTCTGTTTCCCCATTCTGCCTTAAGAAGAAAAAAAAATAATACAATTAGCCAAATTGCTGTGTACATTTTAAACTGGAATTAGTGACAAAGCTTGAACTCATCACTTATTTCATACTCACTGCTGCTTTTAGTCAAACACAACTTGACAATTCAATAGTGAACAGGAACCTAAGCTATGCTTGTATATTAGAGGCTAAAAACAATGTAAAAGATATCATTCTTCCTTCCCTTAGAAGTTTTAATGCCTAGACAGACTGCTCATTTGCCTTGAAATTATGTAATTTCTAGCTTTTCTTCACCCTAAGGCTGAAAAAGATTATTTAACTTTTTATTTGAATTTAGCAAAAGTTTTTCACAGATTTAGGCATGTCCACGATTTCCTATTACACTTTGTCTTGCAAATCTCTTCTGATATGACATCTATGTTAGCAGCTATTTCTCACAAGTGGACAGATAGGCTTGTAATGTCAGTACTAGGTGTTCCACTGGGAGGAAGGCAAGTGAGAGGCCACACACTTGATCTCAAAAAATGGTTAAACCAAACTGGAAAAATAAATGTAATTCTTATACATATGCACATATGTATATATGCAGACATGTATATGTATGTGTACGTCGATGTATGTGTATGCATATATTTACTGCATAATGATACACAATAAATGGTTTATATTTAAACATTGCTAACTCTGAAGATATCCACTACATTTGTTATTTACACTTTGTATTCACACTTATAAATAAATCACAAGGAAATACAAAATACGCATGTGTGTATAGATATGTACAGTAATTTCAGTACTGTTCATGTTGGCCCTTTGAGATATTTCCAGGTTGTCTGATCAAGTATGTCTTTTCAGAGGATTTCTGAGAAACCCTTTTCTTTAACTTTTTCTACTTTACTACAGTTTGTTTCACAACAGGAGATGTCTTTCAGTTGTTTTTTAACCAGATGACAGACAGTACTTAACTTGTCCTGTACAGAACTGCAAGACGATGAATAATTTCTTTCCTAAGGCTAGCTTATCATTTCCATTTTTATCTCCCAGTATAGTATGTCTCTAATGACAGCATCACACTGAATGCACTGATTTTTAGTCCATATCACCACCCATTTCTGATATTAATTTACTGCTTTTGTCACATTCCCCTATTTTGAAGGGGAAGCTTTTCTCTTCTCAAAAGGACATGCTTTGCTCTGCTCCAACAAATCAATGTATTTATGTAATTTCCTTATTTTTTCCTTTGCACTTGAGCAAGTGCAAAGTTAAACATTCTTTCTGGTCTGTGTGTGGCCAACACATCCTCTGATGCCATACCACCAGCAGCATCACATCTCCTGAAAAGTGTCATGGCCCCCCCTCTCTTTTGGCTATGGTCCTCTCCAGTCTGTCCTCACCCCCTCCCACACCCCCCAGCCCATCAAGACAACCAGGGCTGGCAGCAAGCCTCTTTGCCAAGACAGCACACAACTTGGCCACACAAGCACCCCCGACATCCAGAAGGAAGGTGTCTTTCATCAAAGCGTTCACTGGCACAAATCTGGGAGATTCGATCATTGGAAGTACAAAATGCCACAAACCATCGGGCTAGGAACTCCAGCCAGATATGTGTCCATGCCTTTGGGACACTGCTGTTAGACAAGTGCACTGTGCTGCGCGCAGAAGTAACTGGAGGTGGGAGTCAGCCACCATTACCTGAGGTGCTTCCAGCAAGCAGATCTTCCTTCACCAGGCTCTGCACATACTCCTTTTACCAATACTGCGGAATGCTGCAGTGCTTTCTTGTTCAAGGCCCTGTATCTTCTCTGAACCCGCTGCAAGGACTCACCCAGCTGCTAATTAATGGCAACACACTACTTGCTCTGAACTTTGAAGCTTTGCCAAGCTCCCATCCATGTTTTGGCAAACTTAGTACAAATATGGGGGAGTCCAACCTTTCAGGTAATTTCCATTGCCTAATTGTAAACACAGATGTCCAGAAATAAGCCACTTTGACTTGAGTTTGCAATTTATAGTATTTATAAAATTGCCCCAGTTTTATCCTTGGAATCCCCATCTTCTCATGTATGGCACTAGCCTAATTTGGCATAATCTGAATTTAAGTTTCATGGAGACTAAGGTATACTTAGTTATTTCTTTAGCTCTAACTCAGATGGCTTTTTAAGTAAACAATAGACTATTTCAATAGACTATTTTATTTGTTCTGATCTTTACGGGGTCTGTTTATTTTCCCTTTTTTCTTTTTTCTACTTTAAACTGTGTTGCCATTTGCAGTCATAAGGTGCTTTACTTAGAACCCAGAGGACCCTTAAAGATTCTCAGCAATTATAGTAACTACCTTAGGTAGATTCATAAGGCATCTTCTGGCTGTCTTAATTTAGCCAAGTGTGCTTTTACTTGACTCTTTTCACCTGGATTCTTATCCCCATTAATATCTAACTCAACAACACTTGCACATGAAAAGCAGCATCTTCAATGGGCAAAAATCCAGTGGTTTTGACTGACAAATTTTCTGTAATAGCAACTCTTCCTGTATTTATCATGTCAGCTTTACAGCCCTTGGACTTGGCACTACACAGATGTGGAAGGAGAAGGAACCTACAGTCTCAGCACCACCCTCCAAAGGTACCTATGCTGTTTTCAGTAGTGTGGACACAAAACATCATAGAAAATGGAGTGAGTCTGCACAAATGCAAGAATGCATGAATAAAGAACTGGGCAAACATATCCACGCATAACCTTTTCTATTATCAGATCTGGAGAAATAAGACACAAATTTTCTGCCTCTGTGATACAGGTCCGTACTTTTGGTCAGCTGCTTGTTCTGCCGTGGGTTGTCCAATAAAATACAGCTTCCAGCCAGCCCTGATGCACCTCACCATATAATAGCCTCCAGTAAATGAAAACCGCAGCTCACATCTTGATAAACACTTTGAGAAACTAATTTTTTTCCACAGAACCAAACCAGTATTTGAGGAAGGTATAATTTGGGACTGCTCGATTCCTTACTCGCTGCTCCAGCACAGTATGGTGCATAATCTGTCAGGATCTGTTTGAGACAAGGGACTGAACAAACTGACCAAGCTGGTCACAATGACTTCCTGTAATTAGAGGCACTCATTCTTTCGTCTCGCTTTAAAGTTCTTTTCTCATGGAATTGAATTACAATCTGCAAGAAAGCTCAAGAGTGTCATATAATTATCAAATATAAACTCACACATCTAGCATTGGGAAATCTGTCTTATTTGGGAATAAAAACACAAATACATAGATTATCTAGTTAATCGTATTCTAACATCTTCTAGAGTTTCATTGAATCTCTTATTATTATTGAAAAAGTACAATCACCCATTAGCAATGAGTATGCCACTGCCAACACATTTAATTTTCTAAAATTAAAAATATTTTTAATTAACTTATAATCATGGTTTCCCAAACATGTTTTTTCCTTGTGAAAAATCTATGAATATGCATTAGGAAAAGACAGGAGAGAACAGCTGCACAATCACTAATTCACTTAGTGATTCACTAATTCACTAAATCACAATCACTTTTCAAGAGGAGGAAAGGTCACTCTGCAAGCATTTCTTTGTTTAATAAATTTTATTTTTTTAAACTATAAATTTGCTTCCAACTTCCATTTTTCCTACCATACAATGTGACAATCCAAGCACTGTTATTGATCTGTTGTGTTTTCTGGTTGACAAAAATCATGAAAGGGAACACGCCCCACCAAATAGCAGCATACTTTGATTCCAAACCACCATGGGGAAGAGATCCATGATAAACAAGGAGCCATAGTACATGGGTTGCACTTGGAACCAGTAAAGGTGTCAATCTGTTCCAAATGAGCATACGCTGGCAGGAGAATGCTTACTAATACTAGAAAGGGGAACAGAATCCAAATTAGAGATTAAGAAACCCAGTAAAACTCTATTGATGTGCCACAAGTAGCAACAGCAATGAAGGTTTAGTTTTAAAACACATCCTTTTGGCTGAAATGCTGCAAAGGGGCTGTCAGCTACCCAAAGAAATAAGCTCTTCAGAAACGCTCAGTACAGTAGTACTTCAATACTTCATTAAGTAACACCTTAATTGCTGCTTTTACACACTCACAGGAAGATAAGATTTAAAAGATGGAGTTTCATTAAACAACCGACCCCCAGCCTGCAGCAGTCCAGGCTGTGCCAGCAGCAAGCATGGACAGTATGAGGCCATATTTGCTTGCTCTTTGCCCTGCTGGGCCTCAGGAGGTCCATGCCAGCCCTCCCGGGATGCAGGAAAGGGCTCCAGCAGCTACTGAAAGTCACTCTAAAATGACTCAGCAGCATGGCTAAGCAAGCAGATTTTATATGATTTACTGGGGACTCTGGAGGTAAGGGGCATTAAGTCACATGCAGAAGACAGTTCCTCCAGTTTTAAGACCACACCAAGTTTTAAAGCCAGTTTTCCCTGTTTGTTTGATACCCTTCCTGCAATGCCATCACGTGTCCCACACATGCTGTTTCAAAAGCTCTTCACTCTCCACACAATCTTCATCCAAACTTCCTGGCCAATGGGAAGGTTTTTTACCTGGAATATTTGAAAGCAGTTCCTGCACAGGTTTATTAGGTCTGCCTCTCCCACTTGGGTTGCCAGTACTAAACTGGCAGTGTGAGTACAGTTCTACAAATCAGAATTTAAGACATAACAAGGAGGGACACAGGGAGAAGTTAAATTTCAATAGCAAAACATGACACAGAAGCTTGTTTGCTGTTTAACGATTTCAAAACACCCCCAAAATGCTGCTAATGCAGCTCCATTCCCAGCTCTTTCCTTCTTCCCTTCCCTCTGTTCTACTTTGCCCTCCTCAGCAAGTGTTCAGTGTTCAAAGGGACCAAGTGCAAATATAACTCCAGCTGTTCCTAAGGAAGTAAACTGAGTGCTGCTGAAGATCACATTATTTGTGCTGAAAAAGGAAGCATATTCCTTTGAGAAGACAGCACCAACAACGACCAACCATACACCTAAAATCCAGTTTTGTCATTTTGCTTGCTTTCCTTAAACTCAATGACATAAAACCATTTTATTTTCAAGTTGCATTAGAAAATGTGCTGCCAGGTTGTGATCCTTCCCCTCTGCTCAGCACTGCTGAAACACATCTGGAGTTCACCACAGAGGTGATGAAGGGACTGAAGCATCTATCACACAAGGAAAGACTGAGAGACTGAGGCTGTTCAGCCTGGAAAGACTCGAGAGGTCTTACCAATGTGTGTCTAAATACCAGACAGGGTAGACAAAGACCGCAGAGCCAGTGGTATATGGAGACAAGAGGCATGAACTTAAATTCAGGAAACTGTATCTGATTGTGAGTAAACACTTTTTTATCATGCAGGTGATGAAACACTGGAACAGGTTATCCAGAAATGTTGTGTACTTGCCATCCTTGAAGATACTCAATGTCCAACTGGACACAGCTCTCAGCAACCATCTCCAGCTGCCCCTGCTTGATCAAGGGGTTAAACTAGAGCATCTCTGGAGGCTCCCTCCAACCTCAGTGACTCCATGAAACATGCAGGGGAAGAAAATGTGGCAGTCATACCACCTAATGTTTGCACCTGCAGTAGCTGCCTAGTTTCATTAAATTCACTCCATGGGTATCAGAGAAAAAGGGCTTATCCCAAGGGCCACTTGAAAAAGATACGCTGGTGACTGCAGTCACCTCCCTCTCATCACTGACTCCAAGAGTGCAGGGACATTCACCCTATGTTCCCACACACAGGCACCTAACTGTATAGGGCTACCATTACAGATAGGTAAGAGACTATTTATCTCAGTATATTTTGGTTGCTTTGACACCTGCCCATGTTCACGCTCGTTTTCGCAGCAATCCTGCATGAGCTGCAGGGGGTAGCCAACCAACATTTTTGCAGCCTCATGAGGTCTCTGCATTAAATGAGTTTGCTTGTATGGTGCATGTTTTTCTTGCTCTTCCTTGGCTCTGGGAAATGGGAACGAGTCATGTGGACTATGCCAGAAGCAATTGACAACACTCACTCTGCCAGCTCAGCTGTGCTGGCAGGCACTCATTAGGTTGGAAGGAAAGCTGTGGTTCATCTCCACCCCTCTGCCCACTCCCAGCCTACAAGCTCCCACAAGAACGTGCTGAGGCCTGGGGACAACATGTGAAATCCAGGCGCTGAGCAGCCACGTGGTGGGTGTCTTTCCAATCTTTGACACAACACAAATCTATAAACAGTACATTAAACACTGTATAGACTGTGACATAGATACATATATAGGGGTAACAAACCCCCAAACAATTAAATGCTGGGAAAGCAGACAACTATGTCTATAATCTATAAAACCAGAATAATTTTCATGCTATTTTTGAGCAGGCTCTTTTATCAAATTTCCAGCTATGTGCTGATAACTGTAACTCCTGACAGCTCCCAGTATTGTTCCTTTCTCCTCAGGCTACTTCTGACACTGCTTTTCTCTACTAATGTGAGCATGAAGGATAACTAGAAGCAGGCTATTAACCCACACAGATGCCTCATTCCTTCAAATACACTTACTGTTTCATAGAAGGGCTGGAGCACTTCTGATACGAAGACAGGGTGAGAGTTGGGGTTTTTCAGCCTGGAGAAGAGAAAGCTCCAGGGAGATCCTGTTGAGGCCTTTCAATACTTAAAGTGAGCTTTTAAGGAAGGCTGAGAAAGACTTTTAGTAAAGAGCACTTAAAAAAAAGATGGAAAGAGAGTTTTCACCATGGGCTACACTGATAGGACAAGGGGCAATGTTTTTAAACTAAAAAAAAAGTAGGTTTATATTGAATACACGGAGCACATTTTTTACAGTAAGGGTGGTGAGACACTGACACAGGTTGCCCAGAGAGATGCTCCATCCCTGGAAGTGTTCAAGGCCAGATTGGATGGGGCTCTGAGTAACCTGATCTAGTGAAAGACATACCTGACCACGGCAGGGAGACAGGATGAGATGATTTTTAAAAGTCCCTTCCAACCCAAACCATTCTGTGATTCTAAGATAAGAATTTTTGTGTGTATGTTTGGGTAACACCATACTGAAGTTAGAAGCAGTCATAATTTATTGCTGACATCATAAACCTCAAATTAAGGGTGAAACAAACAGGCTAGGTTCTGATTTATATTACACCACAGAAAAAACCTGGAAGAAATCCAGTGATTTCAGATACTTTACCGGCTTTACCAAAGATCAGATTCAGGCCTGCAATCTCTCTGTGTAAAAGAAATGGGGAAAAATAGAGAGTAATAACATTAAGGAATGCAATTATCCAACTGAATTGAATAATAAATGGAGAAAAGAGGTTTAAGCAAAAGAAGAAAGATATATTTTTAAATTTTATTTGCAATGAGATGGATATTCAATTAGATTCAAGCAATAAAAAAACATTTGAAAGGGTAAAAGCTGTGTAGGAGGATGATCTACATAACAACGACTGGTATGTAGGGTTTTTTTTTTTCTCTAGGTGACTAAGAAGCAAAAATTGGACTTATTTCATTAAAAGTGAGGATTTGTTTTCTGTTGAGTCTGGAATGAAAACGGAGTTCTCCACAGTTTCAACATGAAAATCAATGCCAGATTTTTTCAACATGAAAAAACATGCCAGACTCATGAGTATCTTCACTGCTGATGCACCCCTGTGGGTCATAGTAGTAGGGCTCTATTCAAAGCCCAGTACTGAAGATGACAGCTTGGGTAAAAGCTGATTTGCAGAAATGTGGCCGGAAGTACATCACGGGGTCTTATTTCTGCCCACTCTGCTCATTTGCTTACAACATGTCATAGCTGGTTTTCCTTCTTTGAAAGTAGACAGAGAGGAGGTACGCAGCATAAAGCAGAGACTTATCTGGGTTGTCCAACAAGACCCAACTGCTCGGAAGAGCTTTGAGGCTCTGTCACTTAGCTTTAGACTTTGAGAGACAGGGAAAATTCCCTCTTTTGCTTGCTCTTTCTCTCAGTCTGTTTTTAGACTACAAGGAGAGTATCCATATTGCGACAGACAGCTTAGGCTCTGAATGATCAGAGTCCTTAAGGAAATTTTTGCTTTCTCCTTCACTCTGTTACTTGGTTTTGTTGCATGCCACAACTCAAAGTTGTTTGGCTTTGGTTTAGGTTGTTTTGATTTTTTTATGTCCACTTCTCTAATATTTTGACAGAATTTGGTGACTTACATGCTCTGGAGAATTTAGTGACTAATTTCTGAAGAGAACAATATGCTTGTTAATGCTAAGTGTCAGACAAACATGAAAGTACCTCTGGTGCCATAGTTTCATTTTACTATTGGCCAAGCTTCTATCAGCTGTGGCGATCAGTAGGTAACAAGGAGGTGTGGGATGAGGAAGAAGCCTTATTTTTCAGCAGTGAAATGAGTATTTTCTTCACCAGTCTATTTTCTTCAATGCTGTCCTCATAAAGATTTTAAAATGCATGCAGAATATTTACTGTACCTTTTTGTAATAATTCATATGCTGAATACCATTCCAATCACCCGATTATCCAGAATGCTCCAGCACCAGAGCCTTGATTCCAGGGACTACTTTGCTGTATAACTTCACCCAGTAAAACAGGTTTCGTTTTTTTTTCTAAGATTATATTCTAGAATATGGTTTCCAATAGGCTTTCCCTCATGAGATGCTCTGATGTGTTAACAGAGAAATCCAAAACCTCCTGGACATCACTCCAGTGATGTTCACTCTAGTTCAGGGTGGCCAGTGCAACAAGTTACACAGCAGCACTAACAGTCACTTTCCAAGCCTTGCATATCAAAAGAGTGGCTTATTCAATTCTAGGTATTTCAGTATTTCACCTCTTCTGGGGCAGCTGCTGCAAACACCTTTTTTGAGAGGGAAGATTGACAAGGCATGCCTGAACATTACAGTTTCCCTGAATGGGTTCCAATCTTCTTCTGGAACAATACGATAACGTTTATGTAGACTGTAAACATCCAGCTAGGGTTTTTAATGCCATACAATATTATTTCCTCTGCCTGCGATATATATTTTTTTTGTACATAACCAGTTGTAGAGACTAAAGTTAATTAAAATGTTGTTTTTCTTTGAGATGGTCATGCTTGGAGATAAGAGTTTTTAGACTTTAGCCATTGCCTTGACCACATTTACATATACGCACTTTTTTTTTTTTTTTTAGTTTTTCTTTGATTTTAAATATTCATTTATTCTGTTGTAATTGCCTATAAAAAGTAATACATACTTTCTCTCTACTTATATTACAGGAGGTCTTATTTGCTATCAGTTTGTTCTATTGTTAGTCTGAAATGTCACAGTACTCTTATGTTTGATATGTGAAAAGCCAAATTTGCTGTGTTTACCAAGAGGTCCTTTTATTGCTCACCTTCCAGCCTTATTCTGAGTTTGAATCCATCACATCCCCTTTTTATGACCATAAGTCACCGGGGCTATACTTAATGGTACAAAATTCACTCTTCATTTTTATCTATATTCCTCATCACAGCACTTAACACTGCCCTACTTTTCTGAAAAGGTGGATTAACCACATCAAACATTAGCTGTTTCAAAAGTCGTTTGTCTTTGGTCCTTCTGCAGCCAATGGAGATGGCAGAAGTGATTTCAGAGTGATTCACCCTGTGCAGAGAGAGATGCCTGGAAGAGGCAGGATGAATACATGCATACTTATTTTAAGACAGGATGAATCACCTTCTACAAATGTCTCTTTCTTTCTGCTGCTTGTAAAGGCAGCATTGTACTTGCTTAGATCTGACTGGACTTCTAAATGCTTAAAGTGAAGCAAGAAAAATCCTACCTTGCTAATTTACAGTGGATAACCTAGAATCAAAATGCCATTCCTGATCTCACTAGGAAACACAGATTTGCCAAGGTTGATTGTTAATCCCATGTACTGCAATCTTTATTCAGATGTCATTAATGCCATTCCAAATACAAATGCTGGTGTACCAAACAGAGTCTTTCCTAAATTTCCTTCCATCAAACCAGTGAAAAAAATAACTTTTTTCCACCCTCTACCAGGCTCCCCCCAAACCAAAACAGTTTTAAGTAGCTAAACTGCAGAGATTGGGTTGCTGAAGATTGCTCCATTAAGCTATTGTCATCCCATGTTTTTTTCCTCAGTACAGTCCCTAGCCAAGTAAAGTCCTGGCCTCAAAGAATACGAATAATATATTTTTATTATTATTAAATGCAGTATTATTTTGTAAGAAATTTCATTCTGACCATCTAAATGCTATATGAAAGCTTGGTCTTCCCCACCCAATTTCTAAAATCCAGCTCTCCACCAGTCTCTTTAGCAGCTATATGCAGCAGCACAAGACACTGTGTCATTGTTCTGGATTCACAAGAAGTGGGAATGGTGAGCACTGTATGGCCCTCCCCCAGTGTCAGCTGGGATTAACAGCAGCAAGATCAGTGCCTAGATCGTCTTCTCTCTATTCCCAGCTCACAAAGCAGTGATAGGGTCTCTTTTTATCTTGTTGATGCTCCTGTGTGGTGTAATTACAACTATGACTGACAAAGGATGGAGTAAAACTCTGAGTGCCGGTACCAGCTTATAGTCTGTAAATAGTGTTGCAGTAACAGAAATATATATATAAGATAACACACGCAGATACATTTTAAAAATTTTGTTTCCATTCAATTTCTTCATTAAAAAGGAACACTTAAGCCTATGGAGTTAGCTTGCTTTTGCACATGTATCTATGATGGCTGTGAATCAGCTGATTTCAACTGATGATTTTGACCTGTGTGCTAAACAACTACAACTAAAAACCACATGACTAGACTGTGACAGTTATTAACAGAAGTGGTTAGCAGGAAAGCAGATCACAGCTTTTTATTTTACTAAAACCCTTTCAAAATCAAAACAAAGCTTTTACATCATTGTGGCTAGTGATCCATTGGTGCAACGCTCACCCCAAATTCATTATAAACACATCGTCAGAACTATCCCTTGTGACTGCTTCAGATGGAGCATGATTAAATGCAGAGGAAATGCATTACTGAGAAGATGAATCATGATTCTGCAAAACAAAATCAATGGCTTTACACTTTTGAGTTGGACACTGAGGGACAGTAAAAGATGTTACTTATACAAAGAAGCGAGCAAATTAATCGCATAAACAGCTTAAACAGGAAAAACAAACTGTCAGTAACACTGACTATCAAAGAAACACAGAAAAAAAACTTGAAAATGTTTTCTTAAGGTAGAATTTTCAAGTAAAAATTCCTCCATCATACTACTATGAAATGCAAAGTTTTATTTCCATCCCTTTTGATTTTTATGGTTTGGAATAAATGTAGTAATTCTAATTACAGTGGTCTGATGGCTCACTTGAAATAACATTTCAGTTCCTTCAATCTAGTTTAAGCAGGAAGGCCGGTAACCATCTCACAGCAGTAAGTGCATGAAATGCCCTAGTGAGTGCTGTCGGTATGCCTTAAGCCATTCAGGTCAACTCATCTGCCCAGACATAGGGTGTCCCAGCTGGTCCCTGCATTAGTATCTGCTAACTCCATATGGATGTCCCAGACACCTTAAGGACTTTCAGAATGCACTTAACACCTCTGCTGAAGCAGCTGAATCAGCTGAATGAGATCTTGCCCGCCTACCTTAGACAGCTAACTTGAGCCTAGCAAACCAGCTAAGTGCCAAAGCACCCGGCTTTGGCAACAGGGAAAAGCCATCACAGAGAAACCCTGCTCACCTAAATTACCGCATCAAGCTTACACCAACAGGCTGGCCCTGGAGTCCATAAAAAATGCCTGCCTTATTCCACACTTAAGCTAGGAAGACAGCTTTGTTATGCACCTGAAGATTAAGTGGGAAATAAGATGTTTCCAACCTAGATTAACAGGCTGTCCATATACAGAATCACAGAACCACAGAATCATTTAGGTTGGAAAACACTTTTAAGATCATTGAGTCCACCTGTTAATCTAATACTGCCAAGTCCACCACTATAACATCCCCTTCACTATTTTATAGAATAATGCACAGGAGGACCAAGTCGTAGCTCACCTCCAAGTCATTTTTTGGCCTTGACTAGTACCCTTGATGAACAATGGAGCAAAAATACCAAGGCTGAGAAAGTGTGAAACCCACCAGGACTGACCTTATAAGTGTTCATTGTGCTTCCTTCCTCCTTTAGGAGTTTTACTTCTCCAGAGCTGCCAATCCAACTGCTGTCATAAAGCATGCAATTAATTAAAAATGTAAAAATGGCTTTTATGCAGATTGAGAACATGATTTCTTCAGTACACAGTATCTGTTACACACGAAAACCCAGCATCAAAAAGCCATAACACACATAACCATTAGCTAGTATTTCCTCATTAATTAGCACATGCTAGTAATATTGCTATTTGAAATCAGATACACAGATAATATAGCTGAGTCTCAAAAACCCTTCTTCCTGGAAAATACAAGTGTTCTTACAGATGACAGAGCTCCCAGCAAGGTTATATATTGAGGGAAAAGAAGAATGCACTCTGACATTAATATTGATAGAAACTGCAAAATGAACAAAAAGGACAAAGCAAAGGAAAAGCTGTCTGTCTCTGAGGAGACTCTATGTCCCCAGTACAGGAACTTCATTATTATTTCATGACCTTAATGGCAAGCCTCTAAGCCTCATGTACGTCTTTCCTAACAAAAAATTAATTACAAACACAAACCAGAAAATCTTGGATATGCAATAACTGAAATCTGTAAAGTATTTCTCCTAGGTTTGACTTCGTTTATACAAACAATAGTCTGGAGAGACAGCTAAGTAAAACATACAACTTTTCATAAGTCCCAAACATGAATCACAGCAAATGGTCTTTCTGTTAAGAGATAAGCCAGAGGGAGGCAGGGAAAGAGAGAAAATCAAAGACAGAAAGCCTCTCATGCTAAAGGACTACACAATTTTATCATTTTATACATTAAAAATAATTGGAACAATTCCTTCCAACTATTTTTCAGTAGAACTCTACTGGAATAAATTTTTATAACAACTGGCTGATCAGCTGCATCCATGTGTATGTGCACATGCTTTGCTTTTTTTTTTGAGAACTAATAAAAGATAGACAAAAAGTAGAAGAGAGAGTCTAAATCTCTGGAACAAGCTGTAGCAATACATCCAAAAAAGAAAAAAAACAACAATGGTGATGCAGATAAAAATATGAAATATAAAAATATGAAAAATACTGTCTGAATTCATTGAGTTTATCATCCACCAGGATAAAGCAACTGATAGAGGTTGCTAAGCACAAATAAGCTGACTCAGAAATCTTTTCCAAGGTCTCAAAATTGCAATCTAAAATACCAGCCTGCAGTTCCATTAAACTGTCTAGGAAAATAAAGTTTTGCTCTGACTCACTGCCCACCTCTGGTACATAAAGACCCTGTGGAAAACTGCTTCAGAAAACCTAGCAAGAAAAAAGACATTATTATAGACTATGAATCCTGGAAAGCATGACGTGTAACTCTCATTCTCAAAGGGCAGGATATCTTTTCCTAATTTAGGGCTGTCTGTCGCTGAATTGCCCATGGGAATAGTTCAGACCTACGGAACCACAACTAAAAAGGTGCCGGACAGAAAAGTAACCATGAACAGACATTTCCATTTTAAAGCAGAGTTGCTGAGACAGCCTTGTGGATTCTGACAAGGCCAATCGGGGATTATCACTGTGATCAAAGGAGGAATTGTTGGAGGTAACAGGTAAGGAGAAACAGCTTGGGCAGCATTCAAATGACTGTGACTTCCACAGTAACTGCTGCTCCCAGGTAACAGGAGACAGCAGTGTGTGAAATACTTGTATTCCCAATCATGATATCAAGCAGCTGCAGTTGCATTGACAGCTACCCTGGACTATTTAAGTCTGTAGGATCTGGAAAGCTAGAAATACCAAACACTACCTTCCTTGGCATTAC